TTAATTTCAATGATAAATTAGTAATTTAGTATTTAATGAATTTTTAATTCATTAAATATTAAAATAAGATGATGAATTATCAAAGCTTCATCATCTTCTCCAGCATCTTTACGTGAACTCTTTCAAGGTAGGAAAAATATTTCTTTTCAATTTTTGAGTTAATTTCTTTGGAATTCAAGTTATGTCGTGAATTAGAAAAGTGATCTACGCAAAAACGCTATCATTTGGTACTAATATTTCTTTCTAATCTTGCTGGATTTCAAAGATCCCAAATCTAAGGGTTTATGTTCATGATAGGATTCATGAAATTGATGATGAATTTTGATGTTTTTGAGGTTGTAGATTCATATTCAAGCTTGATTGATGGTTATAACATGTTCAATCTTCCTAGAATTAATTTTTAAAAATTCGGCCAAATTATAAGTTGGAAAACTTTGTGTTATGATGAGAGTTGATTAGAAATCTGATTGTAAAGATATTATAAGGTTGATTGAAAGTTGATTTCATGCTTGAATCGAATCAAAATCGAGCAAAATCATGGAAAACCTAGGTTTTGATCTTTAAATCATTAGGCTTTGGTCTTAAAGGATGAGAAAAATTATGGAAAAATTATATAAGGTCCGGAAATGATGTATAAAGTATTTTACAAGCTTTAGAAAAATTTAGGGACCATTTTGTAATTTTCGAAAAGTTGAGGGACCAATTCGTAATTTTGGAAAAAGTTGGGAATGTTGTATAATTGTTTAATAGTTGATGTACTACACTGGAAAATATTGTTTTGGAATTGAAATGAGTGCTTAGATGTGAAATATGATTATTTTGGAAGTTTGAAAAGATTAGTGATTTAAGTACAACATTCGCATAGTTGGGGTACTTAAATGTAATTATGCTTTTGTAAAATCATTTGAATGGTAATAATTTCAATGCTGGAATTTTGGTATTAAGAATCTAAGTGATGGAATGGTGAAGGACCATTTTATATAAATTGAAAAAGTTAGTGCCAATATTAAAAGGAATTATTAAGTGTTAAGTATTTTTATAGAAAATGTGTTTCAAGTATATTATTGATTTGTTTTGGAGAAGTGTTTATGTTAGTACAATACTAATATATGTATTGTTATGAAATTGTGATTTGTACAGATCGTGATTGATTTATGACTAAGACAAGTCAAATATAAAAGGGTTGTCATGGATTATAATGAACATCTTTTTGATATATAAAGTGTCAATGTGAGTGCAATTTAATTTGTACTTATATTATCGAACAAACATTGGCTTGCGATGAGCCAGTGATGGAGTTACTATGGTAAGAAGTGACTTCTAAAATATTATTTGATTGATGATCGATGTGATTATTATGTGTGCATGAGTACATGAAAATGAGTATATGCAATATGTAAACATTTTATATGATATGAGATAGATGTTTACACATACATATGGTATGTGACAGAAGAAAAGAAATATGTGATCATAAGAGCAATAATAATAAATTATGAGATTACATGTTTATATGATACAAGTGAGTTGAACTGCTATAAATGATAATGTCCATGTTATGTGATATGAGAGCTAGTGGTATAGTTTGCATGCCAATATTCGAGGGTTACATATGTCCTACGAGACATATGATAGGTCCTTCAGGACACAGATTACATCCTTCGGGATGATAGGTCATTCGGGACACAGATGACATCCTTCGGGATGATAGGTCATTCGAGACATAGTTTATACGAGCTGTGGTGACAACATATGTGTGCACAACCTCATAGTACTCACATACCTTAAGTTCTCAGTAATGTTCATGGGCCTACAAAAGATATCAAAAGTATATATGGGCTAATACATGAGTTAATAAAATAATAGTATAAATTACATACAATGTAATGCATATACTTTGTTATATGAAATGTTTTATGTTTATATTATATTCTTTATATGCCTCACTAAGTCAAAGACTTAGCGTGTGATTGTTTCACACGTAGGATCAAAGAAGTCGGAAGAGCAAGGATAGACATCTGAGACATCATAGCTTTATCCGATATCATATTAGAAGATATTTTATAGTAGGTTTTCTTTCTTATATTAAATAGTGTTGACATGTAACTAAAGTTTTAAACCGTTTATGCGCTAATAAGTTTTATAAACTGTTTTGAGATAATTTATGTAAATTATTCAGTTGTATGTAGAAAAGTTTAAAATTATTCAATATTTTATACAAGTAAATGTTTTGATACGTCAATGTGACACATCGAACTTGTATCTGGATCGGGTACGGGTTAGAGGTGTTACAATAGCACAAGACCAACTACCGCTAAAACAACCCTTGTCGCCTAATAGAATAAGAATCAACATCAAGTTTAATCGCACTACTTCACTTACCTAATGTATTGTGGAACCAACTCCTCCTCCTGAGGTACCGTCCGTGTCTGTAAACACCATGCATCAGCCAACAAAATCAAGTTTTATTTACATTTTTTTCAAGAAACTTAGGGTCTAATTTTTTTTAAAAAAATTTAAGAGTTTTAATGAGTTTTTAAAAGTTACAGGAGAAATTTAATTAAGAACATTAAAAAATTAAATATTAATCTAAATTTTTAAAATTTTAAAATTTTGTGATTGTCAAGTAATATTTTATAAAAATTTCAAAGGTTTAAATTATAATTTTTAATTTGTTTGAGGCTATGGCCCTCGTACATACTGTTAGAGATGGTAATGGGTCAGGTTAGGGTCGGGCTTTTGGTCAACTCGATCCGACTCGAAAATAGGTATACTCTACCCAAAGCCAACACGATTCGAAAATTTTATATCCAACATCTGTCCCAATCTGAAAAATATTATCTTTTATCCGACTCTGACATGACCTAATTTTTTAGAGTATAAATCCCGACTCGATCCGATATAAATTAAAGATTTAATTTAAAAATAATATTTAAAAAAATTACATTATTATCCTAAGATTAGGTTGGGTCGAAGTTTTTTCAAACAAACCCAACCCAACTGATCCAAACCCAATTTTTCAAAAAAAAAAATATAGCCCTATCAGGTCGGATCATGTCGAAACCTAAAAAATTCGGGTTAAATTACCATCCTAGTCCCCGTTGTGTTAGGCCTCTGCCCCCAGCCGTATCTCACCACAAGTGATAGGTCTATAAATATCTTTAAGGATATATATATATATATAATAAATTTTTATATAAAATATATATAAATAAAATTTTAAAATTTACACTTCAATAATAATAACAAATAATATAAAAAAAAATCAGATTTCAATCATTTCATTATAGATATTTACCCATCTAAACCCTATTTAATCCGCTAGTGCTATCCTCCCTGTGGACAACACTCTTGCTTACCACCCAACCCTAATCCTCTAGCCCATCTCATAAATGCCCGCCTAAGCCTAAACCAAATGGCCCATCGGATTCACCCTACTCACTTAATCCACATTTCAACACACCTACTTTAAAACCCGTTGGGATTTAATAAACTTGGGTGCACAAATACAAATGATTTTGGGTGGTTTTGCGATGGAGTTATAAACTAATCGGTTTTGTGAATGGCTGATTATTCGACAGTGGCAGAAATAGCGGTGAAGTGTTTGAAGTTAGCCATTTTAAATTTTTAAGGGATTTTTATGATTTTAGGGAAAAAAATGAAATTTCATTTTGTAAATGCTTTTAAATAAATTTTTGGAACAAAAATACACAAATGGTTCCTCAACTATGTGGCAGTGCTTTTTAAGTCATTCGACTATTAAAAATTACAAAATAGTCCTCTGACTATAGAATATTGCTTTATTAAGTTTCTCGACTATTAAAAGTTACAAAATGATCGCCCAACTATTTATTATGTTCCAAACTCATCATTTTCCATTAAAATAATTGACGATTGTGTAAACTATATATTAATATGATGACTGGAATACGATAGTTGTTTTCATATTCTGTGATTAGATTTCATCATATCATAGTCAACATATTAACGTTCAACTCAGAATATCGTCAATTTTTACGAAAAATGATGAGTTTGAAACATAAAATAGTCAGTTGAATATTTTGTAATTTTAATAGTTGATGGACTCAATAAAGTGTTATAATTGGAGGATCATTTTGTAACTTTTAATAGTTGAAGGATTTAATAAAGCAATACCCTATAGTTAGGGGATCATTTGTGCACTTTACCCTAATGTTTTTAGAAAATATATAAACTTACATTTTGAATAGTCAATGAGTTTTTTTTACGATCATAACGACTAAATACCTAAAATAACAACAATGAAAATGTTAGGCAATCTCAAATAAAATATACTTTAAATACCTAACGTGAAAAAAGTGGATAAAATATAACAATGATCTCTTGACTATAGAGTGTTGTTTTATTGAGTCTCCCAACTATTAAAAATTACAAAATAATCACTCAATTATAGGGCATTGTTTTGTTGAATCAATGGACTATTAAAAGTTAGAAAATTTTCAATCGATTGTTCATATATTCCAAACTCATATTTTTTCGTTAAAAAATCGATTACCTTCTGAGCTGGACGTTAATATAATGAATTAGACGTGATAAGATGTATTCTCAAAACTGTTTGAGCTATATTTTATAGATCGAGTCTCTATTTACATTAAGCCGTCGAGTCAATACTTGAAATGTTATGTCGTCGAGCTAGTGCTTGAAAACAACGACGGTGCTAGTAGATATAATTAAAATATGATTTCATCATATTTCAATTAATAATTCAATGTCCAACTCAATCGATCAATAATTTTTTTAATAAAAAAATAAATTTAAAACATATGAATAATTATATGATAATTTCTTAATTTTTAATATTTGAAGTACTCAACGGATCAATATTAGTCGAAAGACCATTTATATAGAAAAGTATAATTTTTTTCCCTAAGCCAAATATATATAATAGGAATTATAAATTATCAGAATTTATATAAATATATAATATATCGCAGCTGCACTGCGTCTTTATTTGGTACACTGCGACTGCAAAGAGGAAGAAAAACAACGAAACCGAAACAGATCGAATAGAGAAAAAATGGGTTGGATTGGAGAAACCGTAGACTCCGTCAAATCAATCCAGATCCGCCAGCTCCTCACCCAGGCTGTCAGCCTCGGTACGTTTCTAACTAAACACCCAAGATTGTTTAATTTCCCCTGGTTTTTTTCAGAGTAACTCATCCATTCTCAACCTTTTTTTGAGTCCAAAATGCGACTTTTTTTTATTCTTTTGAGAAACCCATCTCAAATTGCGTTACACTTTTAAGAAACGAGAACATGGTTTTACCTTCTTATTTTCAGATAGATCCAGAGGGTGTGTGGATTTGTTTAGTAGGCCTTTGGGGGTTAAATAAGTAGTACTTCACTTTTTTGCTCATATAGAAAGATGTAGTGTTTCAGGTATGATTGTTACATCGGCCCTCATAATATGGAAAGGATTGATGTGTGTCACTGGCAGTGAATCTCCTGTTGTCGTCGTTCTTTCAGGAAGTATGGAACCTGGCTTCAAGAGGGTAAGTCAACTTAACACCAGAATGTTTGAATGATTTTGATTGGTGAACTTATAAAATTCTAGTAGGTGAAAACATGTTATCAATAGAAAATACAAAGAAAATGCCTAAGTTATGGAGTATGAGAATTTGAAATTTTCAGGGCCCCCAGCCCCCCTTGGCTCATCCCTGTGTACGATTAATTGAAGATTTAATGGCTTTGAAATTTTAGATTTACAGATAAAGGATATGGAGGTGGCTGAATCTGCCATATAACACCTTACAGTGAGTACCATTGCCCCCCCCCCCCCCAAATATGTTCTGAGCTGTATATATGTTACTTAAAGCTTTGACTAATAACACGAATCTCATCTTTTTTATTAGGAATTTCCCCCCTTGAAATTGATATCATTTTATTCCTACCTTGCATGTTGTCATTACCCATTGTCATGAATCAGGACAATGCTGCTCCAGTACCCGCTTTGTCTGACATTAAATTAGGGAAAACTTAAGTATTTGGTTTGTCTTGACTGTTCTTTCACTGTTTGATGCAAGATCTAGATCTGGATCTGGGTTTTCTTCGTTATACATATTCTATTTCTTATTTGAGACTTTGATCATCTCATACACGCCAGCATCAACGCTGGGAAGAAAGAAAAATTTCATCTTTTTAGGAGGCAAGAAAAGAAGCGAAAGAGTCTGATTTAATACTGGACAGGCCCATCTCCTGCGTTTTTCCGATTTGATTTCTCCTCTCTAAACTCAAATATTCTCAGCTTTAAAACTGTTGAAAATTCCTTTAACTCCTCTTCGGTTCACGCAAAATAAATTTAATAATTCTTTTGCTCTCTTTCTTTGCTTTTAGCTCTGCAAATCCCCAGATCTACTCTCTCAGCCATTTGATTTCCGTTCCTCAGTGCGTTTCTTTCCTCTTGTCTTCTCCTTTCTAATTTTCAAAAAGTTTTCGAATCTCTATAATCTTTAGTTAATTTTAATTTGGCTGTTATTTTTTTTTTCAGAAACAAAAAGCTTATTTTTACGAAAATCAACTTACCACCGGCGACTTTGACTCGTAATTGAAGGTTCTTTGTTCTGTTTTTTCTCCATTTCTATTTTGTTCCATTAGAAAAGCGAATCCTATTAAGTAACCAACTAGGCTTTTTAGTACCTCAATTCTCTAGCGTTTTATTGGTGCATCTTATTTCTTCTTGGATTCTTTTTCATAGTCCCTCATAGCTTCGATTATAGATGATTACTTGAGGTCATGTCATTCTTTTAGATCCCATAGGGTAGGGGAGGGCTCAACGGAGTGGTGTCAAGGAGACTAGACTTAGAGTTTGTTCGTTAAATGTAGGCACATTAAATGCTAGGCTACTGGAGCTGACCGACGTACTTAGTAATAGGAAAATAGATTTTGCATGTATTCAGGAGACTAGGTGGAAAGGGATCGCGCCAGAGAGTGTAATGGGTACAAGTTGTGGTATTCAGGAGTAGATAACGCTAGAAATGGGGTGGGTATCTTGGTATCCTATAGTCTCAAGGAAAATGTAGTTGAAGTTTGTAGATACCGGGATAGGATCATGATGATTAAAGTTATTATAGAAGCGGAAGTGGTGAATGTCCTTTCAGTGTACGCTCCACACGTTGGCCTAGGGGAGGGGGAGAAACGTTGCTTCTGGGATCAGTTAGATATTGTACTTAGGAGCATTCCGGGGACCAAAGAGTTTTCATAGGGGAGACTTCAATGGCCATATAGGTAGTGCAATCGACGGGTATGACGGTGTTCATGGGGGTTTCGGTTATGGTAGCAGGAATGATGAGGGGCGTACGTTGCTTGATTTTGCTACTGCTCACGATTTGGTGATCACTAACTTCTTATTTAATAAAAGAGATGCGAACTTGATTACATTTCACAGCGGGGGACATTGTACCCAAATCGACTACATCTTGGTTAGAAATCGGGAACGATGGGCTTGTATTGACTGTAAGGTGTTCCCTGAAGAGGCATGTGCATCACAACACAATTGTTGGTTTTGGTGTTCCGCGTACCCACGGGCGGAGCACTCATAGGAGGCTAAACTGGGTAAACCTAGGCCCTGGAAGAACTTACATGGAGCGACAACTGATGACTTAGGAGTAAGCTTTTGTCTAATACATGTTTTGAAACTACAAACTCAAAAACGCAGATATGTTATGGAAAAATATGGCAAATTCCATCAGAGAGGTGGGCAAAAACCCTTGGGTTGTCGACGGGGAAGGCCAAGGAACATAAAGAATCGTGGTGGTGGAACGACGAAGTCCAAACTAAGGTGAAGACAAAACAAACTTGCTTCAAGGAGTTTCTTCAATGCAATGACGACGAAGAAGGTCGGGAGCTAAACAAAGATACCAGGAGGCAAAGCGGGAAGCCAAGAAAACGGTAGCTAAAGCAAAGGATAAGGCATATGAGGAAATGTACAAGAGATTAGACACTAAAGGACAAATGGCATCTTCAGACTTGCAAAATCTAGGGAGATTAGGAAAAAGGATCTAGGTAACATTAGGTTATTAAGGACAACAATGGTGTTCTTTTAACGAAAGAACAGGATATTAAGAGGGTTTGGGGTAGTTACTTCTTTGGCTTATTTAATGACGGTGCCTCTCCATGTAGAGATAATATCGTTGTTGGTCAGCCGACCATCATACTACGGCCAATGATGCCCTACAAGTAGGATTGGGTTTGAGGAAGTCAAAATGGCTCTTAAAGATGGGAAGGGAGAAAGCTGTCGGTCCTGATCAAATTCCTATCACTGTGTGGTTAGCCCTAGGAGATGAGAGAGTTAAGTGGTTGACCAACATCTTTATATTATTTTAGAGACTGCCAAGATGCCAGAGGAGTGAGAGAGTCTACGGTGATACCAATTTATAAAATAAAGGAGATCCCCAACGTTGTGGTAACTACAGAGGTATTAAACTCAGCCATACCATGAAGCTATGGGAAAGGGTGATAGAGGCTAGGTTGAGACAAGTCACTAGGGTTTCGGAAAACCAATTTGGCTTTATGCCAAACAGGTCTACCACGGAGGCGATTCATCTACTTCGACGGCTTATGGAGAAATATAGGGAAAGTCTAGAGATCTTCACATGGCGTTCATTGACCTTGAGAAGGCTTATGATAGCGTTCCTCGTGATACGATCTGGAAGACTTGGAAACGAGGATACCAACTACTTATATCCGGGCGATTCGTGATATGTATGTAGATCTACTTACGTCAGGACTACAGTTGGCGACACCGGCATTCCGTGGAAATCGGACTCCACCAGGGGTCGGCTCTTAGCCCTACATCTTCGCCTTGATTATGGACGACATCTATGTGCGACACCAGACGGTGTACCTTGGTGTATGCTTTTCGCTGACGACATTGTCTTAGTGGCTGAAATAAAATCTGAGTTGAATAGCAGACTGGCTACCTGGAAGACTGCTTTGGAAGAAAAAGGTTTAAGGATCAATATTGAAAAGACAGAGTATTTATGTTCAAACTTCAGTGGGAACCAAAATGATGAAGATGTAGAAGTATGCATAGAAGGACACGTTCTTCCCTCAAAGGATTGTTTCAAGTACTTAGGGTCTATGATACATAAAGATGGGTGTAGATGATGACGTTACACCGTATAAAGGCGGGATGGCTAAAGTGGAGGGCCGCTACTAGTTTCGTGCGACAAGAAGGTACCTCTAAAACTTAAGGGAAATTTATAGAATGCAATAAGACCAGCGCTATGTATGGATCAGAATGTTGGGCACCCAAGAAGGATCACGTAAGGAGGATAGAGGCCGCAGAAATGAGAATGCTTCGATGGACATGGTAGACTCTGTGGATATGACGACAACTGCTATTAGGATGTCCTTAGGGGTGGTGTCTGTTTCCGAAAAAATAAGGGAGGGAAGACTACGGTGGTTTGGGCACGTCCTTAGGCGACTACCGTCGGATGCGGTCAGGAGGGTAGAGTCGATTACAGTCGACGGTGCCAGAAGGAAAGGACGACCAAGGGGAGTGGGATGACTCTTGAGATCTGATTTGATGGATTTAGGCCTTACGAAGACATGACCTATGATAGGAAATTATGGAGGCTTAAGACTAGGGTAGTCGAGTAGTGTGGGTCACATCTATAGGGTGTATCATCTTTGTCTTCTTTTAAATGCATTGTAGTAATTTCCATGACTTTTACTTTTTATACTTTTCTGTTTTGGTATTTATGAAAGATTAGAACTGGGCTTGCTATCGTTGTCTCATGTGTATCATTCTATCATGTTTCCTCTGTTAATTTTAGCCGGGTCTTAGGTTTCTGTCTATATGCAGAGATTCTTCGCAGGGATTATTTTGCAGGGATTACTCCCCATTACAGAAGCACATGATATTAATGACTGCATATGAATACTGTTTAGCTATGTATTATGTAATTATTTATACATGCATTGCATTTTATCTATATTTTAATTTTCTGACTGCCGGAGGTCTTTCACGGAAGCTATTCTCAACCTGGCGTTGGGGGCAGCCTACTACCCTACCTCCCCCTTACCCCATACATATGGGAATTGGGTTTTGTTGTTGTTGTTGTTGTTTAAGTATTTGGTTGGTGGTGACTGCACGCTGCTAGTTATTGTTAGTAATCTGTCAATAATCACTGATTTGAATTTTTTGAATGACGTAGTTTTTTGGTAGTAAGATCAGAATGAAAGTAATTGTCATTTAATCTTAAATGGACCTACTTGACATGTTTGTTTGGTGTTGTTTATTTGGATTCCGATATCTGTTGCTGTTGCTTAATTAATTTGGATTATGTCATATGCAGGGGGATATTTTATTCTTACACATGAGTAAGGATCCTATCCGAGCAGGGGAGATTGTGGTTTTTAACATTGATGTAAGTGCCTTCGTTTATTTCCTTCTTTTTTAATTTTATTCTGTATTGTTTCCAATGTTGTTACAGCTGTTCTGGCCTTCATGTCCTTTTGCTAATTCAATTCTCAAACTGTGAATTCCTCAGGGCCGTGAAATCCCAATTGTGCATCGTGTAATTAAGGTAACTTCTTAAATATGTAATGCTTGTTTTTATTGATCTTGAACTGAGCTGTATGTATTCTGAGTTTACGACTGCAAAAAAACAATTTTCAAATGATATGAAGCATTGCTATTGCCATGTCCATATGGACATTCGTACATATGAGCAACAGATATTTTACTTGTAGAATAGTAGCAACAAATTAATTGACTTGATTTGCAAATTTGTAAAAATGTTTCCATGTAGGAGTCAGTGTTTGGGGAACATATATTTGCTTGAGCAATTATACATGATTGATCATTTGATTAGTCATAGATGCTTAGGGACTGATTTTTGTAGCTACTTATTTGGTCTGAGGATTATTTAAGAAGCTGATCTTCATAGCTAACTTAAAGGGACATTGACTGCTGGATATCATGAACACCCAAGCTTCTATATGATTTCTATTTGCAGCTGCAGAAGGGCTGAGTTAGAAAATAATTATTTAAGCTCACATGCTATTTATGCGAGGGGAAAATTGCAGCAATTTTTATACTAAAATACTGAAGTCATTGTGTTTGTTGAACTGTGATTTGTGTGTTTTGTTTAGTAGGCTTCTTTGTTTATTTCTTTGGGATTCATATCTTTTTGAACAATTTGTAAAGTATATTTTTTTTCTTGTTTCCCTCATGGAATTATACTAATGTCCACCCATCTCAACCCCCTTCCCCTGCGCAACCTTGTTATGTGTATCACCAAGACATATCACTCCCAGAATTACATTTCTATTAGGAGAATTATGTTTTGTTCGAACTGTGATGGTTTGAGATTTTTCTTCCTGCTATAACTGGCCACAAGAAAATAATACTTGGGTTGATTGCTTTCATTTTGGAACTTTGCGTTGGAGCTAGCTGGCCTATGCAGTTGCTATTCTTGACTTACATGATCCAATTATTTCTTGAGACTCAGTTTCTCGAATCTATTTTAACTGGAAACACTTCTACCTATTGTAATTGAAACTGTAAAGTGGGAAGAAGAAAACCTGTTTTTTAACAGATTCATCAAGAAATCTTTTTGATTTGATTTTTTGGTATTTCTGTAGATCCAATTATTTCTTGAGACTCAGTTTCTCGAATCTATTTTAACCTGGAAACACTTCTACACTATTTGTAATTTGAACCTGTAAAGTGGGAAGAAGAAACCTGTTTTTTTAACAGATTCATCAATGAACATCTTTTTGGCATTTGATTTTTGGTATTTCTGTAGGTCCATGAAAGGCAAGATACTGGAGAAGTTGATGTACTCACCAAAGGTGACAACTAATCTGGATTCTGGATGAATATTAAATTTGTTAGAAATTGCCAGAATTGCATTGTCTGGTATTTAAAACTTCTTCCTTTATCTGGGAATTTTCAGGAGACAACAATTACGGGGATGACAGGCTATTATATGCTCAAGGTCAGCTCTATCTTCAACGGCATCATATCATGGGCAGAGCTGTTGGGTAAAGCCTTTAGCCTTTGACCTTTCTTTTTGTGCGTAACAGTTTATTTTATTGGTCATTCCCTGTATTCCTCTTCAAAATCATAGAATATTTTAAGAATCCAACACTCATACACACACATATCTATATGCGTGCGTTTTATGGAGATAGGGCATATTGGGACATATCTTCGTTAACTACTTTTGTTTGAAATTTGTATCTTAATGTTTTGATGTTATACCACCCTCAAAGTTTGACATCTCTCACATGTTTTAATTTGGAAAGCATTCTAGTGAGTAGAGAATGATGACCGATGTTTTATATGCTGGGAAAGACTTGCATTATGTTTCAGTTTCAGTACGCGTCAATTGTCCTGTCCGTCCTTAAAAGGTTTTGGTGTTGCTGTGCCTTTATATAAACTCTTGAGATATACTGAAAAGATCTTGCATTTCTTAGTTTTGGGTTTGAAAACTGCTCAATTACTGAAAACATGTTTCAAGCAAAAGGGTGGTGGTGCACTTTTCAGTGTAAAAAACATGTTCTAATCACGTACTTCAAAATTGCAGGTTCTTGCCGTATGTTGGTTGGGTGACTATAATCATGACCGAAAAGCCAATTATCAAGGTTTGTTTTTTATATGACATGGATTAGTTGAAGTAGAAAGCCATTAATGATCATGTTAGGGAATATCGTAGTCGTAATGGAATGGACGTCGTTTCCGTTGCAGTATATTCTAATCGGAGCATTGGGGTTGCTTGTCATAACTTCCAAAGACTGACAGTTGAAGCAAATGGAAGGTGCGACCAAATTCGAAGGAGGATCAGTCTCAACAATTGCCAACTTCTACCCTCTCCTTTGTACTGATCTCTCCTAACTTTTGTATACTGAGAATGGAATAGCTGGTGTTTTGATAAATTTAAGACGGTTAGAAAGATGGTGAGTGAAGCAGGCTTCAGCAAGCCCTGGTTTTGCTCCATATATTTAAAATATTGGGATTTCATTTCTAACTTTACAATTTCATTTGAAAAAGCTTTTCAATCTTCTCGTCTTTTCATTTACAAACTTGATATTAACATTTCTATCGTCTTCCATGTATGCCTTAATTTTTCTTCTTACACAGGCTGAGAGTGGCCCTTTGATGTGATCGTATTTAGTGGTAGCTACGGGTGTTCATGATCGGTTAATCGGGCAGTTAACCGTTATAATAGTTATTAAATTTTGTTAATTATAATTTAACAATAAAGAAACGGTTAATCGTTAACGATTAATCATTATTGACTGTTTGGTTATAAGTTAATATGTGATTAATCTATTATAATTTTTTAAAATATAACATAATATGAAAGTTTCAAAATTTCATAGAAATTAGATTATATATGGTGTAAGATATGTTTACACCATATAAAATTAATAAGTTTTGTATTATTTATAACTGTTGGATTTAAATAAATAAATAACTCAGATTTAATTAAAATTTATAACTCATAAATAAATATATTTTAATTCACAGTAAAATAATCTCTTTTTACCTTAATCCTAAATTTTAAATCATAAACCCTAAAATCTTTACACTAAATCTTAAACTCTAAACAAAGATTTTTATTATAGTTTGGATATTTATTTTGGTATTAAGCTAAAATAAAAATATTATTAAAAAACCCAAACGACCAAACCCCCAATATGCCCCTTTTTCCCTCCTTCCATGGACAAATGACCAAAGGTTAAATGATCGATCAAATGGCTGGCTGCCACGGTCGATAATCATGATTTAATTTGAAGGATTGAGTATTTGAGATTTTAGAGATTGAGTATTTAAGATTTTAGGGATTAAAAATTTTAAATTTAGGGATTTGAGAATTTTGGGTTTTGAGATGATAGTAAGAGTTGTGACCGGTCATTGGGTGGTCGGCAATGTATGGGTGGTGGTCGTCGACGAATGGGTGGTCGGAGATGATCGACGGTTGGAGTAAATGAGACTAGAATAAAATATTTTAAGAGTTTGAGTTTTTTTTGATATTTTAAAAAAAATTGGGCTTTTTCAAAAATAAAATATTTTTTTAAAGTTTTTTTAAAAACAAATTTCTAAAATTATAACATTACACTTCTTACCTAACGAGCTTTTTTAATTGCTGTTAGAATCGAGGTACTTAAAGTGATAAAATTTATAATGTTAAGCACTTAAAGTGACAACATTTGTAACATTAGACAACGGGATAAGTCAAAAAATAATTTAGACACTTATTCAAAAAAATTAGTATAGTTTGAGATTATTTTGATATTAAGTTTTGAATTAACGACTAGGTCCATTTATCCAAGTTCTAAATTTAAACTAAAAATATTTTTCAATGAAGTATCAAACACGTCCTAAGTTCTAAATTTAAAATAAAAAGTTATATAATAAATTGATTTTTGTCAAATTAGATGAAAATCAAATAAGTTTTTGAGCGAAATATTATCACAATTGATCCTTATTTAAAAATTCACGATCAAATTCGTTTTAAAAATTCAAAAGATGTATTAATTGAGTCATTATTTAAAATATATATGATCAAATTTTAGGAACTTATTTGATCACAATTTTAAATAGGATGATTATGTCACGCTCGACGAGCACAAATGAGCATCATTAATTTAATTTATAAAACTTTAAAATTATAAATTACTCAACGTGTAATTATAAACGTAAAATCCTAATCTCATCCGACATGAAGTCCGGATGATTAGAATGTCACAAGGAACCACCTAAGTGGCTAACCATTTTTTTAAAACATTTGACCAAATTAACATTGAGCTATAATATAAAATACCAATAACATAATACATTTAAGAAATATTAGTATTTCTAAATACAGGGAGCTCCTAACACCAGTCTCCAAAAATACAAAAGTACAAAATAGAGTTTATGACTCAAGTAATAATAAGGGTCTATGATAGTATATGCCCACTAAATACTCGAGACGTAATATGATGGATGATCAAGTCTGGAAATCTCAAATCTGGCAACGTGCTCCTTGAATTCTCACATAAGGACCTGTGCACGAAAACACATTCCATACGATGAGCTCACAAGCTTAGTGTCGCACAAATAACCCTACTATACTACATGCATTCAACATATAATCATACTGCAAGTATGGCCATGAACAATTGTATACACTACTATAACAATCAAGTAAGCATCATGGTGTAACTCGGGGTTACTTAGTATCACAAAACTCACACCCCTATTTAATTACTAAAGAACCTTAGGCGAGACTTGGGTCACACAACATCGGTGTCTCCCTGAACCTCAAGCTGAGTCTGGGTCAAATAGCATCGGAACTCACTCGGCTAGTCTACTCCTTTAGAGTACTCAAGATATGGTCGGGTCACTTAGCATCGACACTTCATTCCACTAGCAATTTAAAGTGCACAACACTCATTTGGATATATCCTAATAATCCTCATTTTACCATACGATCGTCATACAAGTGGCTCAGGTGTCTCGTCATTTCTCGAGCATCATACAAAGGCACAAGTCTTATGGCATCTTATCTCATTAATATCTTATATTATCACGCAAATAATTAAGGTGTTCTGCTTGTGAGTTTATTAGAAGGTTTCCCGCACTAAACCCCTTGTTTAGCCTCTCTAGCCTCACTAGGCTTATAGCTAAACAATCATGATGGTACCGATACTCTTCTTTAGGTATCAGCACTCCCCTATTATGGTATCGATACTTCCCCGAGTATCGTTACCAAAATGTATTTGATGTTCTGGAAATCATCTTAGTATCGATACACACATTCTTAGTTATCGATACTCCATTGAGTGCCAATACCAAAATTACTTTTGATGTTTTGAAAAATACCACGGTATCGATACCCCTGTGGGGAGTATCGATACTTTACTCTCGATATGAATACTCTTATGAGTATCGATACCAAAATTGTCTTCGATATTTTTGATCAAGACCCTGAGTATCGATATTAGGCCCTGAGTATCGATACTAGGTCTTAGTATCGATATACTTGAGTAGTATTGATACTCTCCTCACAAACCTTTTGAATTTTTCCCTTACACGACCGACAATATCAGTATTGTTCTTACATTACCGATACCCTCTGCCTAGAAAACTCAGTTTCACTCGTCTAAAATCCTCCAATTCATTCCTAAAATGTTCCAAGACCCTTAAATACTGTTTAAAGCTTATGTAGTACTTAAGGAACGTGAAAGGCTTCTACTTTACACAAGAATAACAATAAATCCACGTTTTCATGTTTAAACCCCCCAAGTGCACACAAATGGTTCATACACCCAAACATGCATCGAAACTACACATGCTGATCTACAAATAGTAAAGAAAGGTTAGAAGGGTGTTACCTTACACCTAGAGGTTGATGAAACAACTCAAGGCTCAACCAAGTACCTCTTTTGCTTTGCTTTTCACTTTAGAGTTGTAACACCCCCAACCCGTATCCAATCCAGATCCGAGTCTGAGGTGTCACATTGACTTTTCAAAACGCTTTTCTTTACAAATCAACAAAATATTAAATTCATCATTTAAGAAAATGAATACTTTACTTTAATTAAGATCAATTAGTTTTACAAAACATATCAGAGCATATTCAACTCAAATCTCATAGTACATACCAACTATATTCAAAAGAACAAAATACATATTAATCATTACTTTTCTGATCTGAACTTCGTAAGGAAGACTCTGACTTGTCTTGCTCCTCTTAGCTTCTCTTCTCGATTTCCAAACTTACGTGTGAAACATTCACACGCTAAGTCGATGACTTAGTGAGGCATATAAAACTTATAATGCACTTTATAATATTTAACAATGCATGCATGTTTTATTCTATCATGTTAAACAAAATCACTTCATTTCATCATATCATGAAAAATCATATCAATTACATAGCAAGAAATACATACATACACATAAATCATCATTAACAGTCTTATATTTTAATCACATACTTTTATACTTAACCTTTTTAATCAAATAATATACACACACCATCATATCATTTCTATAACATTTTTCATATCGCAAACATATATTTGTTATTCTCTTTATTAACCTATGTACACATGTGAGAACTAAAGATATGTGAGTACATAGAGGTTGTGCACATATGTTGTCACCACAGCTCGTATAATTCCCACTAGGGGCGCGTAGAATTTGACCCGAATGACCACTTTGTCCCGAATGACCACTCCTTAAGAACCATATAAAAAATACAATTGATCAAATAAGTGTACCGAAGTACCACATATATGTTCCACATAATTACATATATGTCCCGAAAGACCACGTAGAACCCACGACTATTGGCATGCCAACTATACCTCTAGCTCTCAGGATACATAACATGGACATTGTCTTTCATATTTATCACATATTCACATAGTCCCATAGTTCACTTACACATAGATCATTTCCATATAATTCACATGTCACATAACATGGCTTAACATTTGCTTGTATTCTTTTTCACATAATCACATATACATCTTCTCATATATATCATGTAACCATATATATATTATTTCATAACATCTATCATATATACATACCTTAACTTATCTCATATCATATAATTTAGGTTTTGTCCTCTTATGTTCATATGACATATAATGCATACAAGTCATATTCACCCAATATCAATCTTAATCATTATTCTACTTATACAATCATATATATATAACATTTTTATCTCATAGTTATATATCATATTACATATACTTGTATTCACATAGTTTATATTCTTATTTTCATAATCACATATATCCGGTTTAATAACATATATCATATATGTATATAATAACTTATATCATATCTTATACTTTATGTTTCACTCTCTTATATTTACATAATTCACGTAACCTATGTCATACTTATACACATATATCACTTATATTATTTCATTTATAGACTAATTTAATCTATTTATTTAATTCAATTCCATATAGTTCCTATAAACTTCTCATATGACTCTCTATATATATATATATA